GGGATAGCTATAATTGGATAAATTCGGCATATGAAACACCAAAATCAATGATTTTTTTTCAGTGGCTGTGTGACCTTGTGTCTGACACATTCATATGCAAATGACTAATCTGTGAAACAAACAGGGGCGGAGACAAACCACTCAAATGTTTGGAAACACTCATTGTGTGTCAGATAGCTACTGATAACACATCCTAACATTGCTTTGTCTTGAGTTTATCTTTGAAACTTATAGGCACACAGATTAAACCTGTGTTGTTGATTTTGGAAAACACTACTGAGGCTGCCTTGCTTCCCTTCAGAAAATCTATATTTTAACCAACTTACATGACATTCTATGTTATATTGACTTTATCATATGAAAGTTTATGGTGCATTTCATCAATTAATAAATAAATGTGAAAATCGTAATTTTCAACACAAATAATAGTCTCGCTACCTTAACCGCTGTAATAAACTTTAGTCATTTTCCCAGTTGTAATGTAATACCGGAAATGCTGACAGTCCTTCTTGCCTAACACATAGAAGAAGCGCATTTAATACAGGAATGGTGGGAACCAAGGATGAAGTTCAACTGAGCTCGTCAAATCCCAAATGTTGTTGATTATATTTAAATATAACTTGTATCACGAGAAAATTTGAAACAATAAAATATAATCAAACTATCAAAATATTGAAATTAAATAACAGCAACCAAACTTAATGTTATGACAATAGTCTGTACGTCAGTACTGGAACTATGACATAATAAAATTATTAATAGTTGTCATACAATATTTGACTAAACATGATATATTTTGTCAATCGGATGAATAGTACAAATCAGGGAAAATGGCAACATTTTAGAGTCAATTGCAATGCAAAGCTACTCACAACATAATTAGCTAACTAAACCTCTACGCCCAAAAGTCAGACCAATCAGAGAGCAGCATGTGTCTTTTTAAATTTTGCCTTGTATATATGTTTTGACTCAATTGAAATTTTATTGCGGATTATTATCAAGGAGTCAGACATTTTCGCCAAACTATGAATTCAACAGCAAAGTTACATCACAGAATTCTCTATGATACTTCTATGTGTATCACTGTACAACGTATTTCTATGGCGTATGCGCAAACCGCGATCTGAAACGCTGGTTGAGAAGTCAGTGAAAACAGCTAAATTTGAAAAAATAACACAAACTCAACTTTGAGGTAATTCTGATACATGTTGCACATGTAGTCTTGTTAAATTATTCAGCAACTATCGCAAAGTACAGTAAAATGGCCTGGACGCCACCCCTTAGCATACTGAGAGAATATCTGACCAAACTGACCTTGTAACTTTTTTTTCTCTTGTTGTTTTATTTTCACTATTCTCAATCACTGCACCATCTTCTTCATCTTCTCCTGCATCCATGGATTCTGGAGATTCCGGAGATTCTAATGGCGTTGGCAAGATGCTGGTATCCATGGACACTGTGTAGAATAGTGAACAAAACTCATTAGTACCAAAAATACTGTCAGACAATGTAACGACAGGGCAGTGATCTCTTCTGCATATTACCAATTCCCTCATTCTATGATTTGAAATATTAACCAACACGGAAAATACACAATTCCCAAGAACAACAATTAGGAGGACTTGCAAATGTTGACAGTCTGGAGACATATTTAGAATTTTGCTTAAAAATGTGAAAAATAATTCTATACATCTATGAACCAAATGCAATAAGGCAGCAAGTGAAAAACAGAGCTCAAAGTCAAACAGATTCAATAGAAATGGAGTAAAACTTCTATGTAGCTCACATGTAATTGTTAATTGGCATTTCAACAATTGATTAAATTTGGTTGCTATGCAAATACTGTTGTTGAATGGGACTCTAATATTAGACGCCCATTTCTCTGACATTGAGTCACATAGTATCAAACTTTGACCTACTTACCTACTGTTTTCATGATTGGCTTTTCTTCCTCATCGTTACTTTCACCACTAGCTGCAGCTGGTGTAGCAGGACCGGAATCTAACGATGCCGGATCAATGTTCATGTCTTTGCAGCATTTTATACACATCCATTTTCCTGGTGTCAAAATATTACAAATATTAGAACAGAATAGAAAGCATTCACTATAACACTATTATACCAGAGGTATATTACTTGGGGTTTGCAACGCGCATAGTACCGTATGGTGACATCATGTCAAGATCCCATTCAAGTCTCATCTCGTAGATAGCGAGACTGATGCCACGACCTTCTGACATTACATATATTCAAGGTTTGTAATAAGACAATAAAACATGTCTTACCACTATCATAGTAAAAAAATGTAATAAATCGAAATGTACAGAAAATATAGTTTTTCGTATTTCATCATATCGTGAGCAACTATTTTGATCCACCTTGACCTCCTAGTATCCTAGATACCTTGGGCATGTGCATTGCTCCGAGTTGGGTGAGCTTATGCGAGAGCAAGATTGAAACAGGATCTTGGTATCATGTCACGCTACTTGCAAACCCCAAGTAATGTACCTCTGATTATACGCATTATGTTTGACCTCTAAAGGTCACACATCCTGGCAATTTCAAGAGGGAATTATTGTCCTATAACAGCAATAATTTTCAGTTTGCAATCTTAAATTATTTGTAAACTTCAATGAAATCAGTAGACATTTTGGGGGAGGGGAAAAATGAGAAATTGTCATTGATAGTATAATTTGGAGACACATAGCATCAACAAACTACTCATAGACTCTTAACATTACTATTACCATGGTTACTGAGCCATAAGAACTAATCAGAAACCTTCCTTAGCCGGGTTAGCCCAATGGAAAACTAATCTTGGGCTGCTCAAGGCATAAACAGAACTAAATATGGAAAAGTGAAAGTATAATCCCACAATATTGACGCCAGGAATCAACAAGGTAATAGCCATACATCATAGTAACGATTGTATGTCTCAAAATTATATTGTATTCCAAAAAAGTACCAGGATGTGATTTTTTGGGGGGTTTATGGATAAAGCCAGTTCATGCTTTAAAAGTGCCATTTGCCATGACTGTGGACAATTTAAACTGTAATAAGAGTGATTTGGAACTCCATGCATTGAATTTCACTTCAGTGAAAATTTCTCTGCTACAAAACATTACAATTTTCAAGTTTACAACATTTTTCGAAATCAGTAACTTCAGAAAATAAAACAAAAACCTCTTGCAATGATTAGATCAGATTAGATGTCAATATTTTGATTAGATCAGATTAGATGTCATTATTTTGATGCACTTTGTGTTTCCTCTGCAAATACTGACAATGCTATACTCCATAATTTGGTGATGACAAAAACGAGCGTTTTATACACAAAACTAATAAAACACAGGCATACCTCATCATGTGCAAACTGCTCATAGACCCTTTATATTATAATTTCCCTTTTACTCTGGGCTGGAGTAAAGCGCAGGAGTAAAGTAGCAACACAGCAATCTGTACTCCACCAGGTAACCATTTACTACTTATTTGTTTGCTCAGAGACACAACATCATAATACTAGTGAGATTTGAATTTATCACATGCATAACATGTGCATCTCCACAGTTTAAAGTAGGACAAGCCAAATAAAGAAATCCACATCATAGTTGGAATTACATACCGTAATAATAAATTTGTTTTCATGAACACTACAAAATAGTTGGAGCTTCAGATCTTTTAGACAGTCAGTGAAGTACAGCTTATGGCTCACATGTTCATTTTCAGAATGAGTCACAGACATAGCACACTTGCCTTCCCTTGTATTCACTAGTGTCTTTGACAGATCCATGTAAGGTCCATGCTAGGGACATGATTTAACCCTTTCAGACTATGTAGTTATTGAATGATTTACATTGAATGCTATTTACCTGTAGGTTTCCTCAGTATTTGGGGTGTATGACAAGCCATATGGTAGCCCTTATCACAGGCATCACAGAATAACAAGTTATCCTACAACAAAATTAAAATAATCACTGACGTCATTGGCCAAAAAAATCCAACTATTGTAAGTGCCACCATCTTGAACAAGCATTTTTTATATCGCAATGGTTAAACTTTTCACCACCAGTATCCTTCTTTTCATCACAAATTGTCTTGTTTGTAGTCTGCACTTTCCTTCAAAATATTGGGACAAAATTAGCCAAAAATTTTAAATAAAAACTTAAAATTGACCTAAATTTTGTCTGTTGGCTACAAAATTAGGGTCAATTTCAGGAAATATTGAAGACTATGGGGGAAAAAGTGGAGACAAATTAAGGCATGAAAGTCTGGTGGTGAAAAGGTCAATACACACCTCAATGGGTCACACAATACCCTGGATATTCCTATTTCAAACCATCATATCAAACTTTCAGGAAAATGAAGACATGTAATAAAATAGGTGCACCACCGAACAACCCTCACTTCGCCTAGCTTTAGGTATAATCTACAGATGGAAACGTAATACTTACAGCGTCACCAGAATCCCCACACACACAGCACGTCTTACAATCAAAGCATTGCCATGGTGACATCCGAGCTCTTACAGCAAGTTCCTGAGTGTAGTTCATACATGATGGATGTGCTACAAAAAAAAAAAAAAATTATTGTAATTATTATTATTTTGACATTATCAAAGTAAATATGTTAATTATCATTTTTGCTTTTGCTTTTCATAATGTATGTTTAAGAAGTTTTTTGTCATTTTCACTCTCTAAATATTTGTCCCTCATGAATGCAAGTGCCACAGTATTGAGTATTTGTAAACTGTGTGATTGTGAAAGGAAAGCAAGAAAGTCTAACGTTTTTATACACGTAGAGAAGAAATCTCAATTTATGACATTTACTACTAGGATGATAACAGAATGTACTTAAGATTGTGCACAGTAGCACAGATTTGCTCTATTATGAACCAAAAATTCCATTTATTGTATGTTTGATCTTTAAATTAAGATATTTAATCTTAATACTGCAATAAAATAAGACAATTCCTGATTCCCGAATTGATAGCGATTGCGGGTTTATTGTTTCTGCATATTGCGTGATCTGACGTCGACAAACCGGAAGATAGGACAGATTGCGATTATAGCAAACTTGCAGAAAGTCGAAAATATCACTTTTTACCAAAAATGACAAAAATATTCACTAAAATTAGAAAATTGAAGATATCATCACGAAATGAACAAATCTGAGAATGGTCTACATGTAGTATCTATATATGCAATATCAAAGCAATTGAACTATTGGTTTTTAACAAGAAGTCGAAAATATCACTTTTTACCAAAAATGACAAAAATATTCACCAAAATTAGAGAATTGAAGATATCATCACAAAATGAACAAATCTGAGAGAGGTCCACATGTAGTACCTATATATGTAATATCAAAGCAATCAGACTTGCGGTTTTTAACAAGAAGTCGAAAATATCACTTTTTACCAAAAATAACAAAATTATTCACCAAAATTAGAAAATTGAAGATATCATCACGAAATGAACAAATCTGAGAGAGGTCCACATGTAGTACCTATATATGTAGAATCAAAGCAATTGGACTTGCGGTTTTTAACAAGAAGTCGAAAATATCACTTTTTACCAAAAATGACAAAAATATTCACCAAAATTAGAGAATTAAAGATATCATTACAAAATGAACAAATTTGAGAAAGGTCCACATGTACTGTAAAATCTGTATTAGAAACCGCGGCTTCTATTAAAATGGCACAATGCAATATAAGGGATGTGGCTTCTATTAGAGCATCTACACATATGAGTAATGGTGAATTTTTGGTTCTCAATTGTTCAGAAAGAATGGGTGCGACTTCTATTAGGGATGCG